CAAAGGCTTTACTGAAGTCTATGAAGACGACGTCAACGGGTCTTCTGTTGTCCTTTGATTTGACCCAGCTTTCTCTTGCAGTCAGGAGATTTGACAGGCATGAGAGGTTCCTCCGGAAGCCATGCTGTGCTCCAGATAACAAGCTGCTATTTTCCAGATAAGCCATGATGCTTTTCTTGATAATTCTTTCCAGTGTCTTGATTAAAGTGCTGGTGAGACTGATAGGCCTGTAATTTGAAGGGCTTTGTCTTGATCCTCCTTTGTGTATGGGGGTTACTATGGCGTCTTTCCAATCACGTGGCAACACTCCATTTAGGAGAGATAGCTTGAAGATCGTGGTCAAGGGGCCGGCTATGTGGGCTGATAGCTCCTTGAGAAGCCTTGGATGAAGATTGTCAGGACCCATTGATTTCCCTGCATCTAGTTTCATTAAGCAGTTGAGCACGATGCCTTGGTCGATGTCAACGGAATCTATCCCATGTTCTTCTGATGCAGCCAGAGCTGATCCTATAGGCAGTGATGACTCCTGAGTGAAGACTTGGGAGAAGTAGTTTGCCATTGCTTCTGCTTTTTCTTGATCTTCTTCGATTGTATCTTTGTCAATAATCAGGTTTGGGACACCATTGGATGTTTTATTCCTGAAATTCAAGTACGAGAAAATTTTCTTAGGTTGTGCCTTTGCATTTTGAGCCAGGTGTGTCTCGAACTTCATCCTTGATTGGCGGATTTCTGCGATAGCTTTATTTCTAGCAGTGTTTTATAATTCCCTGGTCTCAGAAGTCTCAAGTGTGGCAAACAGGTTCCAACATTGTGTTTACGTCTGAGTAACTTACGAATCTCCCGGTTTATCCAAGGGGGGCAATGTTTCCGACCCTTTGGAACAGACCAAGGGATGAAAGGTACAGTTACTTGGGCGTAAAGTTGCTTAAATTGGTTCCATGCGGCTTCTACTTGGGACTGTGTGTTGATGTACCAGTTTACTGAGTTGGCTGCTGAGACGATCGCATTTATATCAGCTTTCCAAACGTTTGGTCGAGCTGGGGTTTTGGCCCTTGCTGCCGTTGCTGTGAACTTGAAAGTGAGCACAGCATGGTCACTTCTTCCTAACGGAGGAAGTTGTTGTGTGAGATCCACATCCTCACCGTGGGAGAACACTAGCTCCAGAGTTGAGGAGGAGTGCTGTGAGTCATAGCGCGTGGGCTTAATGATATGTTGGACTAGGGCTAGCGATATACTAGATTCTAGCAGTTTATGATCAAAGGAGTTGACTGAAGATGGAGTTGTTAGGCTCGACCAGTCAACTGTTGGGGCGTTGAAGTCACCGACTACGAGACTTCGACATTTTGAAGTCCAGGAGCCTAGCTTCTCTATTAGGAAGTCGTCTGCACTGCAGTCAGGACTGCGGTACACAGCAATGAGGTCAATGTCTTGGCCTATGCATTTAAGTCTGCAGCGTAGAAGTTCGCACGACTCACTTTCGTGGGCGAGTGCTTCGCACGGTTAAGCCTTTCTTGAGGTAGATGACTACGCCACCTCCTTTGCGGTTTAGTCGGTCCACCCTGTGCACTTCGAAGTTTGGCAGGTTAACTTCGTTGTCAGTGACATCGGGTGTAAGCCATGTCTCTGTGATGATAATTACATCCGGGTTTCCGGATTCTATCATGTTAACCAGTTCACTCCTTTTATTTAACAGGCTGCGGGCGTTTGTGTAGCAGACTGCTAATTCAGATTGGTGCTTCCCCGGCCCACCCGCAGAGGTTTCGGGATCATTAAACTGCTAACCCTTAATCTTAATGTTCTCCCCGTTTTGGCGTCGCTCGCTTAATTCTAGGCCCGCAGACTGCCTTTTGATACGGTCTGTTAGGCTTAAGTGGGCGCGGTTAAATATCGCTGATCCTTTAAGAATACGAGAGTTGCTTATAATAGCATCCCTCTCTTCTTTCGAGTTTAGTACGACTTTGAGGAGACGTACAGGCTGACTTACTGTTGGGTCAGCCTTTTGGCCTATTCTATATACGCTGTGTATAGTGATGCCTGATACTGTTTGTGGCAGTAGCTTGTCTAAAAGGGGCTTAACCAAGTTATGGTCATGCTCGAATCTGGCCTTGGGATCAGGGGCCAGTGACTCTTCCACTTTGTGGAGAATGAGCGACCTGTCAGAGAGATCAGGCCTGCTTGTCGTGGCTTTCTTGCTCTGCGGCGTAAGTGTCTTTCTGCCCTTCGTGGGCGGTGTAGCCGATGTTATCCTTATTCCGATTTTTGCGAGAGACTATAGTGCGCCATTCATTGGCGTCCTCCTCGCTAATCACAGTGGGATTTATCTGCCTGATATTAACCGGTGTGGATGAGGCCTGATCCACCAGTCCCTTGGGCGATTTCAGCTGTAGGTTTTCGACCATAGCTTGATTCCACACAGTATTTTGATACATGTATGGAACTTCCAGCATTTGATAGCCTAGATTTAGCAGGGCGACCATTGATGTCAGGTGTACGTAGTCCAAGAATCGAACCCCGGAACATTGGCATGGTTGACGGGCGTCTTAATCAGTGTCACCGACTAACAGGGTTCGGCTGGTATGAGAGGGATTGAACAGAAGTTAAACCGGAATTAAGCATTCGAAGAGATGTCATACCGGTAGGCTTTGCAGGTTTTGCGCAGAAATAATCAGGGAAAATTGTAATTCATGAATAATTCCCATTCGAACATTAGTAGACAGAAGACAAGTAGTTCAGCGAAGAGTCTCTTTTCGGCGAATTCATTTTCATAGCTGTACAATCGCAAATATATATGGTTATTTTGTGTGTGTGTGTGTATACATTAAATTTGTCAAACGAAAATACAATTAGTAGGTTCAGATGAATTGGATGTTGATAAGAGGATAGCAACAAAAGTGATGAGTTGTCATAAATGATTGTTAAATAAGAGTTACGTAATGGCATGAATAGTTTGATGAATGAGTTGTGCTCAAAGGGTGTACATGGAAACAAAATAATATACAGAATTACACAAGGGTTTTAAGTTAGAAAAATAAGCATACAAACAGAAGTAAGGTCAAATCAAACAAACAAAGAAAAGTTAGGTCAAATCAAAGGAGTAGTTACCATGCGAGTAAAAGTGGTTGGATAATTTTCTTTTGTATGCATAGTTCTGGTTCCTCCAACTGGATGGCTAGGGCTTCTGCGATGCAAAGAAGACGGAATCGTACTGTCTTTGGAAGGTTGTTCTTCACTTTGTAGATTACTTTGAAGGAGGCGTTCGTTGAGATGGAATGACCAGTATTGACGAGATGTTCGATTATTGCACTCCTTATATGGCCATTATTTCCTTTCTGTAGCCACGCTGGATAGTGTTCTTTTACCCTTTTAGACAGGATGCGCGTTGAACGACCGATGTACCTGGCTCCACAGCAACAGGTGAACTGATATATACACATAGAAGTGGTCATGTGCGGAATCTTGTCCTTTGGGTTTCTGCAGATCAGCGGGCGACTGGAGAACACTATTCTTAGTGTTGCCGCAGGGAAAGTTCTTCCTAAAGAGGTGGAAATTCTCCTTCTGAGGACGTCACTAAATAGGTCTCCTTTGAAGTCTAGGTTCATATAAAGTATCTTTTTCGGCACGGATAGTGTCTCTTGCTTTTGGTTTTTCTGTTTGATGTTTTTCTCTACAAATCTTGGTGGGTAGCCATTTTGTATGAAGATTTCTTTCAGGAAGTTTAGTTCTTCTTCCATGGTGTCGGAGCTGCAGATGCGTCTGACGCGAGTGGCAAGGGATTTAATTAGGTTTCTTTTCCGACTGATTGGTACCCAGCTGTAGAAACTTGTTAATTGTCCGTTCCAAGTCGGTTTCCTATAGATTGACCTTCTTAAAGTTCCGTCATCTCTCCTTGTAAGCTCAACATCAAGAAAAGGGATTTTAGATTCATTTTCAGTTTCCAAAGTGAAATTTGTGGCTGGATGGCATTTGTTGAATATTTGCAGTAGTTGATTGAGATCGTGACCGTCATCACAGATGATAAAGATGTCGTCAACATATCTAACGTACAACTGGAAATTGTCGATGGTTGATTTGAGTGGGCCATTCTCGAGGCTTGCCATGAAGCAGTCTGCTAGTAATGGGCCCAGTGGAGATCCCATTGCGATCCCATCTTGTTGTCTGTAAATAATGTCGTTGAATGTGAATTGCACATTTAGTGTACATCTCAGTAGTAGTTCTTTTAAACAGGTCGTCGGTAATCCGATGTTCAGCTGTGTATATATCAGTTCACCTGTTGCTGTGGAGCCAGGTACATCGGTCGTTCAACGCGCATCCTGTCTAAAAGGGTAAAAGAACACTATCCAGCGTGGTTACAGAAAAGAAATAATGGCCATATAAGGAGTGCAATAATCGAACATCTCGTCAATACTGGTCATTCTATCTCAACGAACGCCTCCTTCAAAGTAATCTACAAAGTGAAGAACAACCTTCCAAAGACAGTACGATTCCGTCTTCTTTGCATCGCAGAAGCCCTAGCCATCCAGTTGGAGGAACCAGAACTATGCATACAAAAGAAAATTATCCAACCACTTTTACTCGCATGGTAACTACTCCTTTGATTTGACCTAACTTTTCTTTGTTTGTTTGATTTGACCTTACTTCTGTTTGTATGCTTATTTTTCTAACTTAAAACCCTTGTGTAATTCTGTATATTATTTTGTTTCCATGTACACCCTTTGAGCACAACTCATTCATCAAACTATTCATGCCATTACGTAACTCTTATTTAACAATCATTTATGACAACTCATCACTTTTGTTGCTATCCTCTTATCAACATCCAATTCATCTGAACCTACTAATTGTATTTTCGTTTGACAAATTTAATGTATACACACACACACAAAATAACCATATATATTTGCGATTGTACAGCTATGAAAATGAATTCGCCGAAAAGAGACTCTTCGCTGAACTACTTGTCTTCTGTCTACTAAAATTGTAATTGTAAATAACCCTGGTAATGCAACGTGAATATCTGAAGGTTGTTCTCATTGGAGCGCTAGTCAAAGTTTCACGTTCCCGCACCAATGAAGGTCAAGGGTGACAAGGTGTGTGTGTGTTTATGTATATTTCTTTAGCCCCCTCAAATTAAAATTGGGAAATCTAAAGGCAGTAGGAAGAAGGACAAATTAAAGTTAAAGGTAGGACTAATGTGGCATTTTTCATAATTATACTCAGAATTCGAACAAGAAATTGCTAAAAAGACGATTATCTTCGAAAGGAAATCACTCCGATACTAAGGTAAGCGTAGTTGGAGCCTTTGAATGATTAGGCTAGTGCAGATCCTTGTGATATAATCCGTAAGAGAAAGTTTTTTATAAACCAACATTGGAAATCAGGTTTCCTACATATTGCTTAGTTCCGATGATAATGCCACGCTTTATGTGCTGTTCAAAATCAGTTGGTGAATCTTGGGAGCTAACAGAATGATTATTGTTACAAGACATTGCTGGGTAGCCTGTTGTTAGATCGAGGATCCTCGATCCCACTCGAGTGGGATCCATTTTGCATCGTGCCAGACTTAAAATACTCATGATGCGACAGTTATTAGCTGAAAGCTGTGGAAGCGCGTCGATTTTTAGACAAGGTAAACTGAGAAGTCGCTTTTACGTTTGTTGTTAGCGCTTTTGGCTTATTGCTTGTGAATTTCTCCTGGAGATTGTGACTGTAATAGCTATGTTCGATAAGTCGTGGTTTTCAACGGTCGAACCCCTACCTCCAAGTTCCTTGTTGGTATTCTCCCGCCCTAAACTTACACTAAACATATTTTTGAGTTCGATAAATAAGTATGCTGACCTGTTTGACCCTCCTGTACAACTGTATTACATATGGCATCCGAAATGAATTGCATTTATATCCTATAAATAACTGTTTCATCCGAAATATAAAGTTGTAAATCAGCCCTGTACACTTCCCGAGTCACCCTATATTTACTTGGACTGCAAGGATATCCCCCTGTTGTAAATTTTTTTTTTTATAATACCGATGACTAATATATAAATTTTAAGGGGTGAATGTAAATTCGCTTAGTCAATTGCATTCCTCATCATTTGTAGGTTATTATTCTTTAGTGTAAGTATAATTACTCCAAGGCTTCCATATTGTTTCTGTCTGCCACTAGGCAAATGAGGCGGCCATTTCAATTCCGGTCAATGAATTAGATATTTCACGAACGGCCTCTCTATCGAAACAGCTTGAAATGACAGATGTGGAAAGTGATATTACAGGAATCACACCTTTGGATATAGGAATATCAAAGCAATCACCTATAAATGATGATGCGGTAAGTGTTTCCTTAGTTCGATGAAACTCTGATTTCGTTTTGGTTTTTAAACTATACGTGTGAACAAATATCTATTCTGTTAGTAGCCACTTCATTTAAATATTTATAATTTTTTAATGATATTCACAATAAATAATTTCACGGTGGATCAGTATGCTTAGACACGAAGTACACTGATGGCATAGTTGCCGAGCCTTATTATTCTACAGATCACTACCAGAAACTAGAAGCTGAGAAAACAGACCAATTCCTGTATCAAGCTATTTTGTGCTCCTGAAGATTATACTTTTGCCAAAGTCGCTGCACTGATGAAAATAAAAGATATAGCATGTAGTCAATTTGTGTACAATAGTACAGTACACCAGAAAAGTACATAACGGTAGTAGGATATTTTTGTTGAGCAATTAACATATCAGTTACTCTTCCATTCATACGCAGGATAGTTTGGCTTCTGTTCACAGCTGTTCAGCACTTACCTACTAAAGCATTCTTAAAAGGGGTGAGTTCTCAAAGAACAATCTATTTCCACTCTCACTTTATTTAAAGAAGCTATGCTGTTTACAGTCGAAGTAAAAACTCAGAAAGAAGTCTGATTCTCATCTCATAGCAAGTAGTGTTATCCTATAGTCCACCCAACTTTTAAATTTGTACCTACGCCTCTATAATTCACAACGCCAATTTTTTACACTCTAACGTAATACACAGCTGGAAAACAAATATCTTGTAACCATATTCTGACAATTTTAGTTCAGATCTTGTATACTTGTTTCAGTTGTGATCAATTATTCACGTATTCTGCTCTGCCATAACATAAAGCGCACTGGTTGACTTAGTCGAAGTTAACATTTACTCTGGTTCTTTCAAATTTGTGAACTATTAGATAATCAGGTGAATAGTTCAACAAGTGCTCCTGTTTGGCGTTCATATTTACGGTTCCAGGTGTGGACAAGTTTTTCTGGAAGTTGCTGATTTTGATCTTGTTGAATAATGTTTAAACATTTTTATGGCTTTACTGTTGAAGCTGCAGGGCTGAGTAAAGTTGAAAGATACGTTGACTGACTAATGAACCACTTCAGAACTTTGCATGAAAGTCTGGTGCATATTTTATCCCCTACTGTACCAAGTGTGTTTGAAACTGAAAAATATTGAGATTAGTCAGAAGTACCCGTCTATTACTGTTTCGTTCTTTTCTTTCTTTTTTTCCTTCACGCTCCCAGTGGAACATAGGGCTTCAAGCTAGTGCCTTGAAGTTTCTGTAGCAGTATTTATTATTTTTTACAGGATGGGGTTGCTAGCCTCATGCCCAACCTTTCCTCTTAACCAGCATTATTTCTGGTTCAACGAGGTAAACGAGTGCGTTGACCGGGGATCGAACCCCGGACCATGTGAATAGTCGGCGGACGTCCTAACCACTATACCACCGACGCACTGTTTCGTTACCAATAACTAATTCCAAAACTCAGTATGACTACCTCACATAACACCAAATGTTCTAAAAGCTATATTAATGGACTGACTGTTGGCAGAATTTCGAAACTAGTACAATTACGCTTTTGTCACCACCGTATGTATTAAATCTCAAACTTCACTAAACTTCTCAAAAGAATTAACTGTCATACAAAGATGCTATGGTTTCAAATTACTTTTGGATCTGCGTTTCTTTAATGATCACGGTCTAAGTCACCGATCCTACTGTTCATATGTTGAATGGGATGGTAGTCAGTTTATAATAGTTATGTTGAGTTAGCTTCTGTTATGCATCGCGATTGAATAAGTGAAATATGAGAGTTCAACGACTCACATTTAGATAGTGATCGAATTTATTTATTCAGGAGTAAGGTAGGAAACACCTTACTCCTGAATAACTAACTTTTTAAAGCTAAGTAGATGACATTGCATCTCATCATTCTCTCTACCTTCTGTTTATTTTGTCCACGGTATATTGTGTGACGTGTCTTCTGGTGCTTTGCTTTAATTTTTTTTGTCCTCAATATTCGATTTTGTGAAGTGATCACAACCATACATTCACAGTTAATCGGAAGAATTTCAAAACATCTAGGCCAAATTTTCTTGCTTTCTCTTGTGGCCCCATAAATTTGTTTACGACATTAAACATGAATCTTGGTTTTTTCCAGTCTTACAATTTGTATTCAACAGTACATTTTTAGGTGGATACTAACATTCGTTCTTCAAAATGGTGGAGACTGCGATGAACATAAAAACAATATTAATCTATGACACTATTTTTATGACCTTACTCAGTGTTCTGTTATCTATGTTTACCAGTTTGAAAATTAGTGTTGGTTCGATTCGACTGTTTCTGTTTTACAAATTAATCTTTCTTTGTTGTTCAATGACAGATGGATACCAAACCCCGCATAAAACTAAGTAAATCCCAGAAGAAACGCCATCAAAAACAAGAAGTAGTGAAATTGAAAAAATCAGCAAAGGCATCTGTCCCAAAGGCAGAACCAAAGGTATATTTCTTTAACATTTCACACTACTTATTGCTGAACATTTCTGATACTTTTCATTATTTAACTGCATAAGTGTTAGCATTGGAATCCAGGTTAACTTAGCTTAGTTACTTATTACCAATTTTGGATATTAAGTAGATTTTTGCCGACCAGAAGACGAACTTTTCACATTTATTACGTCACTTCAGTTATATTCGGTGACATGGCCAAATTATTAACACTGTTGCGGTGATTACGCAAACAACTAGTCAGTAATTTTTCTCAATTTTCGTCATATATATATATATATATATATATATATATTCACTAGAGTTCACTAAATTACTGGTTCTTCAGGTTTTGAATTGAATCATTGATGCGTATATGCATGTACTCGGGAGGAATTTCTCTGTGTAATCGTGTAATCTCAAGTAGGCTTTTAAAATTTCCGTTCGCACGTAAAAACTTTTCGTGTAAAATTCTCTGGATAAAAATATCAAAAGTACAGTATGTAACAAAATGAGGACGTCGTCTAAAATACCTGAAATTGCTTTTGGGAAGATAAGCATTTTACATTTGATCGTTGTCATACTATTCGTCCATTGGTTTTTCTTTATCAGGAACCACGCACATCATCGAGTATTTCATTTCCAGAACGTACGGGTTATGTGTCAACCTTGGACACTGACGAGAAAAAGTTGGATGCAGTACGGAACCGTCAAGGTAATTACCGCAGATTTTGTTACTGGAATTCTTTGTATCATCAGTATTTCGTTTGGTCATGTTCAATGGGCCAGTAAAACTACCTTGGCTGATTCCATTATACTTATATCAGTAATACCTTGGCTGATGTCATTTTGGAAATATATGGAAATGTGACACCAGTTTGAATAGTACTTTGGTTTCATTTCACATTTTTACCAAAGTGATTGTCTTATATTTCACTCCGAATATTAGTGGTGAAATGACTAGTAATGCTATGTATTTTTAGTGTAACGGGTTCACAGTGCAGTATTCAAGTTCTCCAATGTTCTACGTTAGTTTATCCTCTTTTCCGTGGATTGTTTGGAAGTTTTGCAACTTGGATTTATTCATTTCTAAGCAAACCATACGCAGTCTTATGTTATGCCTCTCAAGTACCTCTCATCCTAATAAAATTGTGTTACCCTATTTTAGTTTTCTAAGTCTCATGTTAAACTCTCAAAAAGTATCAAAAATAATAAGTCTAATTACGTTTTCACGAAACGCACATCTAATTATCAAAATAGCATTATTATTATTCAGTTCTGATTTCTCTACTCTATCCCAGTATGACCACACTACCGAATTTTCCATGGATGTGAATTTTCTCTATGAGTCCTAACTCAGATTTCTCACATTCACTGATATAAATGCTCAGATGAAATCATTGTCTTCAGTTTATATATATATATATATATATATATATATATATATATATATATATATATATATATAAGGGGGCTCGTTTCGCATTTGCCAGTTTACGCCGTCTCTGGCGTAGACGAGATATTCGACTATCGACCAAAGGGCGGGTGTACCGCTCATCAGTCCGCTCCGTCCTCCTTAATGGCTGTGAGACCTGGCCACTGAGAGTGGAAGACATGAAAAGATTAGCTGTCTTTGATCATAGGTGCCTGCGTTCTATCTCTCGTGTGAAGTGGTATAATAAGGTGAGCAATATTGAGGTTAGGCGTCGAGTTCTAGGTAAACAGGGGAAATCAATCGACGAAGTTGTCAAGTTACAAAGACTGAGGTGGTTAGGACATGTGTTAGTTATGCCTAGTTATCGCCTTCCTTGACGGGCAATGTTAGCGGATGCAGGGTCAGGCTGGAAAAGAGTTAGTGGAGGTCAAACAAAAACATGGCAACAGTCAATGGAATCCACAACAGTTAATCTAATCCACGTAGGAAGGTGTAGACTTCCGGATTGGGGTCCTCGGGACGGTAAAAACCAATTGTTTGGAAACAACTGGTGACATGGCTCAAAATAGTTCTCAATGGCTGGCGCAGATGCATTCACTTCCTGTGATTTATGATTCCCAATGGAACTATATTGTTCTTCGTTATTACTATTCCTTCGTCTCACACCTCTGTTTACTGTCTCTATTATGCATTTCTTCTACTTTCTCCTCTTGCTTTGTGTGCTACAAAGAGGGAGTGTGGCGACTTGAACTGCTGCACATATGTGCAAAGTTCTATGTCGAAAACAGATATATATATATATATATATATATATATATATATATATTAGTGTTGCGTGACCATTGAGTCCACTGGCAAAAATCTTAGGCCATTTTGAAGTGGTTTTTGGAGGTGTGTCCTTATTAAGATCTCACTGTCAGCTGTAAACGACCACAAGGTAACCAGGTATATCTAACTTCCCGGGTTGTTGTTTTCATTAGTTTGCTGGTCATTTGTGGGGAACATCTTTCTACCGTCACATTCCCATATTTCAGCAGTAGTAATTCACCGACAAACTCTCTCCCAATGCAGCATAGACGACTAAAAACGTAGTGATAATTTGAACCTAACTGTAAAGAAACCTGGTGTCATTGTCCGAATTCCTTATCATCCTAAAAATTGTGAACGGTCTAAATTCCCTTGATTATATTGCTCTAATTCCATACCCACTTGTCTGTTGCAACATCACTACATTTCTATCACTGTCCACTATATCGACTGCGTCATCCAATGGTGAAACAATACTGTGCATAGAAATCAAGTTATATCCACATACCAATCAAACCTTCAACGTATTTCCGTTGTCATTTTGGGTGATGTTTGGAAGCGTAACTGTTTGCCTTTGTCTATGTGTATTAACTAAGGTGTGCGCTTCATGTATTAGACAGCTCCTAACATTTTTGGTCGTAAAATTTCAACCATTTTGCTGAATACATGTGTTTCTGAAATAGTGTCATTGCGAACTCACCGTTTTTTCTTACACATGTGAAGCTGAAATGTATCAGTACACTTTGGTTGTGCGTCCAGTGCCAAGAAATTGTCCTGCAAGTGTGGTTAGAGACCTTTTCCCAACTGCAGTCAATGTACGCATACCTTACAAGCGCAATTCTAGGTAAGTTGGAGCTGCTTTTGGTTTGTTGTCTTTGTCATTTTTGATAACCAGTTGTCGGGTATTATCCGTGATAATTTCCTGTCAAGTCAACAGTTTCGTTTTTTTAATTTTTTATTATAGCTTGAAACTACACTGTATTTTTGGTACAAGTATGGAATTTTCAGCATGTGATATCGGTAGCCCAAATTTTGCTGGCCGACCATAGATATTAAGTGTGCGTTGGCAGGGAGTCGAACCCTAGAGCATGTGCATGGTCGGCGACAGTCCTAACCGCAGTGCCACCGACTCACAGAAGATGGGATTTTAGCCCCACAAATTGCTTCTCGAACTTTTTCAGCACTGTTTTTTAACTTTTGCTATCAATTTGACTTCAATGCGTATCATAATACGCATTTGACTGACAGGTTATAAAATACTAAGTAGTAAGATGAAGCTTACTATATTGTTAGAAAGCAGTTACCCGGAACAAGTTTTTCGTGTCTCAGGCTATGAGCCTTATCTCACCTAAACCTTTCATGCTGCCCGACCGAAAGCTGCTACCTTGACTTGGTGGTCGGGCTTGAACACCGCAGTGACCTAATCAAGCTATACTGGCTGAGACTTATGTCTCTTGAGGTTCTACCATGCCAGGCAGGTTGTTTGGATAGCGGTTAAACAAAAAGCAGCTACCCCATCCAATACCATGATTCAAACAAATTCACAAAATTTCATGCCGGAACGACCGTGGCCCGGATTAACAACGACCGCGCTTCCTGCTGCCGTGTCACAGGGCAGGAGTGATAAGTATGCTACTGAGGCACACCAAACAAAAGAGAACAAACAAAAACAGGCCGCGTGTGACCGGCCTCAAGCAGTTGTCCCCTGGGCTCTGCGGTCACGCAACCAACTTCCACGGTGTGGGCAGCCGGGAAGTAACAAACGCCCTCACAATCCGAAATGCAATCCGAATCCTTTCATACTGGTTTTCATAATACTATGTAAGCCTGTTAATTAGCAATTCGAACAACTTAACTATCAAAAGACTTCTTGTAGTGAGCGTAACTCAGTTATTCAAAGTTTCATTCAGATATTCTCTTCTGCCTTCAGTGTTCATTTCTTTCTGTCCGAAGTTAATATGCCGTTCAAATTTTAATAACTAGTGTATTTTTAAAATAATGCTACGCAATAAACAGGCTATACTTGAGTGCAAGTAATCTGGTAACGACTTATATTTTATCCGTTATATACAGTTATCTTGACAAAAATTTCAGATTATAACGTCACTTATTCAATAAATTAAATCACATCCTAGAGCATATTAAGAAGAAAGCCCATCCTGAACTGAATAGACTTACGATTACGATTCTAGTTAAGTGTTTCGAAGTGTCAATGCACAAAGAAGTAATTAAATCATACATATCCTACAAATTTGTCATGCCCAGTTTTCTTTAAATAAGCATCTTCAAACAAAGGGAAGCATGATAACCATAAAGAGAGTTGACACTGTTGTTCGAATCACTGATTTCGAAAGTAGCTAAAGTAGCTTAGGACAAAAAAGTAGAACCGTGTAAAACTTCACACAATTGTCAAACCCCACTCATTTACGATAAACTGGATATTTTATAGGTAATTTTGTCGCATTTTTTCTTTAACGTAGATATGCTTTTGCAAAGTTTCGCAATCAAGATGAGATGCTCGCTGCTCAAAAGTCAGTTTCTGGGAAACTTTTGCGTGACAAACCTATCACAGTTGAAGTCTGTTCACTACACGGTCCTGATAATGTCGACTTAACTAAGTGGTGTGAACCTATGCAAAAGCAACTTTCACACTTCGATTGGCGTAGTCTACATGTGACTCATTTGCATCGTGCTACTACACGTTTCGATTTGGCCCAAGTATTTCCGAAGGCTATTAATATACGCATGCCAACGAATGATGATGGATCCTGTCGAGGGTTAGTAAAGTCATTTTTTATTTATTGATAAGTTGTCTCTGAGCTTTTAGCATAGAAGTCAATGTGTGTTGATTATAATTTTAGTAATTTGGCAGATTTCAAGTGCATATTTTGTGTACGAACGATTTTTGTAAAATATTTAAGTAAAAGCAATACTTCATCTGTGTTCAAGTTAAACACAAAATAGTTTTCTAACTTTGTCTCCTTTTACTGTTCAAAAATGAATACAAATTATATGACTTGTGTTTGTGTATCCGAATTTCGCGCAAATATCCTTACTTTGATCCGCTCACTTGCCTGTTTTTATCTGCCTATGTTAATCAAAGAATACCAATAGCTTAGTAGATTAGTGTCTGAGTCTGAAGTTGGGCTATCCAGGTCCCGATCCTAGCTATCAGCAGACAAACCAACGAAACTGAGGAAATCAAAAGTTCTGTTCAAGAAACTTATGCACAGAAAGTTGTTAATTCACCTCAGCCAGTGTCAGTGGGTAGATTCGCTGGTATAAACAAATCAAGAATGATGTATGTTAATCATTATTCCAAGAGATAATGGAACAGTGTTTAAAGCATCGAATATTCAGCTTAACCTTAAGCGGAAACATCACAGCACTGGGATTTGGACTGCCTGGTTGACATTCCCCTCAGATCCTGTCACCAACAATAGCCAAACATAAGTTTCATGAATACGCAAACAATCATGGTGATAAATAAATGCATGAGCATATGACCAACATTACTTAAAATAATCTTTAAATTTCTTCCATAAACTATAACTTCAGTCACAAAGTCAGTTTGCCTCTTGGTAGCAAGTTTCTCATCCAGTGACCATTACTATTTAATTGCAGGCTTATATCAACTTCATTTTTTTTACTTAGATTATATGGTTGGTGTAGTTATCGGGTCGCATATTAATCAACCCACCGTAAAATACAAGAATCACAATTAATGTATTTTAACATTCTACAGAGGCTCTTATTCTTTGCTGACTAAACATTACTATGCCACCATGCAACTCTGACAGGCTGTAAAACGTTCTAAAAGGACTGCAATCCGAAAAATGATGTTGTAAGGAGGGGAAATCAGCCAACGAGGCTGTGAAGCTACATCGACTCAAATGATTAGGACATGTATTAGTTATGCCTAGTTATCGCCTTCCTTGACGGGCAATGTTAGCGGATGCAGGGTCAGGCTGGAAAAGAGTTAGTGGAGGTCAAACAAAAACATGGCAACAGTCAATGGAATCCACAACAGTTAATCTAATCCACGTAGGAAGGTGTAGACTTCCGGATTGGGGTCCTCGGGACGGTAAAAACCAATTGTTTGGAAACAACTGGTGACATGGCTCAAAATAGTTCTCAATGGCTGGCGCAGATGCATTCACTTCCTGTGATTTATGATTCCCAATGGAACTATATTGTTCTTCGTTATTACTATTCCTTCGTCTCACACCTCTGTTTACTGTCTCTATTATGCATTTCTTCTACTTTCTCCTCTTGCTTTGTGTGCTACAAAGAGGGAGTGTGGCGACTTGAACTGCTGCACATATGTGCAAAGTTCTATGTCGAAAACAGACAGACAGATATTGTATTTCTCTTCTCTAAATGCTAGTAATCTTGAGATAGGCGTTTCTCTCTGTAGTTATGTTACCACTCCAAATATCATCAGTGACAGTAATAATAATACTTTTTGAAAATGTTACAGATGATACGTAACTTTAAAATAACAGGGCTATTTTAGGGTTTATTTTCTTGATCTGTTCATATGGAGATGGTGAAGTGTATCCCATCTTGTCATTTTCATAGCTTGAGAAATTCTTATCATTTCTTCCGTTTCGTAAATTTAATACAATCACTACTGAAATGTTTTTCTTTCTCGATTTGTACTAAGTATTATTTATATAATATTTTTTTCCATGCAGATTTTGCACTTTAATATACGGCACACGTAATCATGCACTCAGAGATTTTGAAATGAGACACGGAACCTTTATACACGGCGAACCTATCTGCGTCAATTTTTCTCTCAAAAGCCAAAAAAAAGTAAGTCATTCAGTTCCTACTAACTGAACTTGGTTTCGGTATCTGTCATTGAATTAAAAATTTGGGGGACTTGAGTTCACCAATAAGTAAAAATTAACTGAACTGTTTGCTAGCATTATAGAAAAATTTCATTAAACAGGAACTAAAATCCAGTTTTTGGTATGCTGTAAAAAGAAATGTTTGACAATGCTTCCTTTATGTGTAGAATAATCAGGGTAGAAAGGCTTTGATTAAGTGCGATGAAATTTGAAGTACTTTTTATGTTCTCTGTTGGAAAGACTATATGATATTAATTTCGTTTCTTCTGTTCTCAGGAAATATGGCGTTTAAACTTGAGAAATAGTCATCCTTTATATTATGAATACTTAGAAACATGCCCAGTATATCTGACAGAAGTTTTCACTAGAATTCTTTCAGTGTGTTAGTTTGCACAAGTTCTTATAAACTTCTAATTATAATCGGAGGTAACCTTAAAACATACTAATTTGTCTCCTTAAGACTTGTGTGATAGACAGAAAAGAGTTAAACAGTTTCATGCTCACTTTGATTTTATCTCCTGTAAAACTTTTACTGAAAATAAATATTCTTCAACCAATTCAGATAGCTATGAAAAATGAAAGACGACAGTCTTCTGCTTTAAACAACATGGATGTGGATAACAATCAAGTGCCTAATAAGGGCGATTGTCCTAAATCATCAGACGACCATTTAGTTAATATGTCTACTGATTCAATCGATCCTGAATTTAAAATTGATACAAAACCAACTGTCCCCAACTCTACAGACTCAACATTAAAAAAGAAGTCAAAATCTGCTACAGTGAAGCGGGCAGTCTCGGATCCCTTATTAAATAAAAAACATCAATTAAAAGATAAAGGCGTTAAGAGGAAGTCAACTACAAATATTTTCGACTCTTTAATTCAACCATCGAGTGGGGTGAATAGTAAGAAGAGAAAGAAAAACTCAAAATCTACAAAAAGTGGAAAGAAGCTCAAAAAATAGATTTCTTTGGGTGAGAAGTGCAAATACATTGATAAGATAAAAAATACTGCAGGTGAGTGTATATATGATTTCATGAAATATTACTACTCACTATTGAACAAAGAAATAACCCTATTTATTATACTTTAGTTTGAATAAAAACAAATAAATATCCTTGGTTTTGAAAAGAATATACGTTTCCTAACCACTAAAATTCAAATGCAAAATAGATGAGCGTTTAATTCTCAAGAAATTTATCGCTTTGCTTTATAAGCAGTACTGCTTATTGTGTAAAAAAAGCAGAAATTGCGAAATTTCACTTGTGTGTAACCCTTAACCATATTTCAACTGCTTTCAAGTATTTAGCAGTTTCTCCAATAGTGAATGTTTACATTCACTTCACAAAAAATCCTTATTCAGTATAGCAAAACAATTTCCTTACTCTCGGTGACTTCACTTCATTTTCTCAGTTCACTCTAGAAGTATTACCATTATACAAGTTGCATGATAACTGACGGGAATTAACTCTGTATTGTTTTTATCTTCTTTTTTTTTACAGACAACTTTGTGCGGGATCTTCATGGGCTTTTGTACATTTCTTCTCTTTTGTGAATAAAGTTATTCTCTGAGTAATATTGTTTTTTTTCTGTGCCAGGAGTGCAGTTACACGATTACTTTCGTAGTATCTAAGTGTACTCCTAACCGTCACACATTAACTTCATTGTTTCAAAACATACAAAATATTTAATCATCACACTTCATTTCGTCGGCGAAACACCTTTTCACCCCCTCCGAGTAAACGCAAATATGAGCGGCTTTTCATGCTTGCATCTTCTATTGGTTGATGGGAAACTCATTATGAACGAGTCGATGTGGGAAAAGACTCCACCTTTAGGGGTGCGTGACTCGTAATAGACTGCACAAGCGTAGAATCTTGTCAAGAAGATGATTATTTCAAGTAGTTACGCTTCCAAACATCACCCAAAATGACAACGGAAATACGTTGAAGGTTTGATTGGTATGTGGATATAACTTGATTTCTATGCACAGTATTGTTTCACCATTGGATGACGCAGTCGATATAGTGGACAGTGATAGAAATGTAGTGATGTTGCAACAGACAAGTGGGTATAGAATTAGAGCAATATAATCAAGGGAATTTAGACTGTTCACAATTTTTAGGATGATAAGGAATTCGGACAATGACACCAGTTTTTCTTCCACTAACGCGAAGAAACCCTTGTACGCTTCAAATTATCACTACAGTTTAAGTCGTCTATGCTGCATTGGGAGAGAGTTTGTCGGTGAATTACTACTTCTCACATATTGGGACGTCATAGAGCCCACTCCCCTTAGATTTGTTGTTAACTGTCTTCCCCATGTTCACTTGAAATCATGTTTTCTCTCTTCTAGAGGTTTACTGGCTTCCTCCTGTAAATCACCGAGTTTGAGACGTGAAGCATATGTCATCTGCGAAATCCAGATCTTCCAGGGTGTTTTTGTCAGTGTAACGTATGACTGTATTCCCACCCCACTACATGGTTTGAGGAATGATCCAGTCCACTACAATCAGGAAGATCAGTGGTGATAGTAGGCCGTTGAAACCTTTGGTTTTGTAGCCGAAAATCGTTCTCGATGGCACAGATGCATTCACTGTTTGCAATCTCGGAGATCCATGAAATCCTTCTTACTTCGTGTGGATTTTCTTTCTCCCGTATATTTGTGCCCAATGTGGTTCTTTGGATTTTCTGTTTTCCTTTTCTTAGCTTTGTGTTGTTCGTGGAGTGTGTCAACTTGAGCTACTGCAATTTTGTGCTATTTCCTATATTGAAATTCAGTCTGTCGATCGATCGTTCGAGTCCTATTCTAAACACTCCGAAATCATTTTTTACCCGAATCGGTATTAGCCAACATTTCTTGGCGATAGTCATTCGATTTTCCTATTTTTGTAATTCCTCTGAGTTCCGGGTTGAACAAAGGGCTTCAGAAGTGCATCTTCACTTTCTTCTATTTTCTGCTGTCCTTTTCAGCTTGGTCCACGATTGTCCATAATCTCTCATCTCCTCCATGTCACCCTTGCACTGACCACCCACTCGTTTCTTCCCATTTGGATTCCAATCGAGCGATTGCCTGCATTGCGTGCGATGTCATTCGACTGTCTCCTCAATGTATGCCTGATCCAACTCCATTTTCTCCTACATATTTTCTGAGCAATAAGCTCGCGGTTGGTTCGTTCTCAGCCAGAGTTTCTAGTAAATAATTCTTTCTGGTCGGCCATTTGACCTTCAGTATGGAGACAACGAAGGCAGCTGTTGATGAAAGGCTGCTGTGACTTGTTGGAAATCCTTTTCGTGATGCACTAGCCAAGTTTCCGACCCGTATAGAAGAAACGGCTTTACATTTGAGCTGAAAATTCGAATTTGTTCCTTATACTGAATTAGTGCAGAAGATTTTCAATCTGGTTTCAAGTCGATGAAGGCGTATCTCACCTATCCGATTCTGACCAACTTTGACATCTTCATCCGTGCCGTGTGCCTGTAGTTGAAACGGTGTTTCCTACATAATTGAAGGAAGTAACCTCTATTAACTCTCTCCCTTTGGTGTTGATTGATGCTGGTTTTTGTCACTGTCGGTTGGTTATCTTCGTCACCTCCGTCTTCTCTGTGTTCACCTGGAGTCCTGTCTTCGCTTTCGCTTCCTACTTCTCCTGCCAATTTGTTGCTTCTCGCCTTCCTCTAAGCCTTCGAGTTTGTGTGACGTTAGATATATATATCGTCTGAAAAAATTCAGATCTTCTAGAGTCTTCTCACCGGTGGTCCAGCGCTCTCCTGTCTTCTCACTCTCAACGCACAGTCTGACGCATAATCTAGCCCACCACAATTAGGAATATCATCGGTGATAATAGGCAACAAGACTTGTCTTACTCGTGTATTTACTTCGAAAGCCCTACTGAGTTTCCTGTTGTGGATCGCCTGACACGTCACTTTGTCATATAGCCAGCTGTTGAATGAGGTTGACAAAGACTTTGTCACTACACACCGAAGTTTTGAAGTAGTTTCCGTATCACTTCTCGGTCAACACTGTCTGTCGAAGGCCTTTCCGAAGTCGATGAAACTGAGGCGGAGGTTCGACTGCCATTCTATGCTTTGTTCTGTGATGACGATGCGTAGAGTTGCAATTTGATCAGCACCTGATTTGCCTTTCCTGAATCTAGTTTGTTCCGTAGGGTGGGCGGAGATCTGTATCCAGTTCACCCTTTATTCTCTCCAGGATGACGCGACTTAGTATTTTACTTGGTGTGGACAAGAGCATTATTCCACACCAGTTGTTGCACAGGTCTAAGTCGCGCTTCTTCGGTGGCTTGACGAGAAGCTGTTCTTCCCATCGGTAGACACCTTCCTTCTTTCCAAACCTTTTACAATAATGGCATGAGAACATCTTCCGTAGTCTCTGGGTCCATTTTCGGTGTGTCTGTCATGCGAAATCCATTTTGTTTTGTGTATATCCTTGTGTTTGTGCACGCTGACACCTATTATCATATCACTGAAAACACAGAAGTGCCCGAAGAGTTGTCCGTTCTCATTCATTTAGCTGAGAGTCTGTCGACCCATGATGAGTTCTCCTCCTGTATTATCTGCTCTCAGTTCGGTTGGCATTCACATCGCCCACAAAGATTTTGATGTCTCCATTTGGGGTGTTGTCCATTACTGTTTGTACTTCTCTGTAAAAATCTTCCTTCTCTTGTTTCGCGTTGTTTGTAGCACTGTGTATAGCATTGGATAATTGTAACCTGCCTTCCTTTCTTTTGAGTTGAATCTTGCTGTCATGATCCTGGATGAAAATGGTTCCCACTGCATTAGCACTTTAGCTTCTATTGGTAACATCATGGTAGCCACTCACTGCCTCAGTGTGATCTTGGTTGTCGTTTGGGTGACCAGATTAGATTACTGACTCTCAAGCTGACAATTTTCATAATCCACATACATTCCATCTGCTCTCGCGGATTTCTAGCACTTCTATGCCATATCTCCTCATTTCTTTGTCTACCTAGGCGGCCTTCCCTCTCTATTTCTAATAATATCTGCTTCTCCTTCCCAAATGACTTCATTGATTGTATTACTGTCAAATGTCGTCCCATTCATCTCCCCAATTATAAACAAATCTTTGTTACAAACATGTACATTTCTCCTAGTTTCTCTCCATCTGATCTATCCAATTTTGCTGATGAATTCACCATGTTTGCTGCCGTCAACTTCGACAACTCTCTATCCATTATTACTGGGGATTTCTACTACTCAGATTGCTCCTTTCTTGAAGCACTTGGTCACACAAACATAGTCAAATTTCCAACTCGACTTGACAAAACACTCGACCTAGCTTTTACTAATGACGAAGGAGTATATGAAACACGTAGACGTTCACCAATACTTAACTCCGATTACTGTATTGTCCCTGTTTTACCAAAAATATATAGCAAAACACATATTAAAGTCTTCCCACACCTGTCTATGAAAGCACAACAAAGATGCTACACATCTGACAACCTACTCAATCTAAGATTCATGTTAAAAATACTAACGGATTTATTCTATGAAAGTACATTAGATGACTCAATCACCAATATAACGGTTTATCTCAAGTTCTGCCTTGATATATGCTGTCCCAAACAAACACTATTCAAACGCCTCGAACGCTTCTCGACTCCTCATCTCAAACAACTTTGCAGGCAAAAAGAAACATTTTATAAACTCAAAGATAAGTTAGGACTTGAAAAGATTAATGCTCAAATCAAATCAAAAATCTTAATGCTATCTATAACTAAACACTTTTATCATGCAAATCTCCTACCAGCATGTGGAAACTTTTCACTGAAATTACTGGCAATAGTAAGCGATGTAATGTTTTTCCCTCTTATGATGTTAACGCTCTTAATCAGTCTTTTATACGCTCTCCTTCTACTATAACCACTTCTAACTCTACTAGTCGTGTAGCTGACAACTTCCAGGACTTTAATACTCTCGATGTTGTAAAATGTCTTAGAGCTCTTAAGTCCTCATGTAGTCTTGGCCCTGCTGGTATACCTGCACATGTTCTAAAACAATGCGCAGATGCTTTATGTTCTCCTCTAACTAACATCCTAAATGCTTCTTTCTCCGAAAACGTCGTACCTGTTCCATGGAAAGACATTAAAATAGTCCCTGTCCCTAAACCTGGAAATAGCAAGAGCGTAAAGTTCAGACCCATTGCCATCACTTCCCCGTTTCTAAAGCTCATGGAAAAACTAGTACTTCTTAAACTCGAACCCTCCCTTAAAAGCTTTGAAGACCCCGAACAATTTGCCTACAGACGGGGTAGGAGTACTTTAGACGCTGCAGCCATCTTACAAAACAGTATCGTCTCATCATTAGATAAAGGTGCCAAATACGTCCACTGCACGTTTCTCGAATTCACTTCTGCTTTCGACTCTGTACCTAGATGTCTCTTGCTAAATAAGCTCTCGATTACACAAACTGAGTCCTGGGTCACTAACTGGTTGCATTCCTACTTTCCAGACAGAATGCAGTATACCGTATACAAAGGCAAATCCTCCTCTGCTGTGCTCACTGAAACTGGTGTCCCCCAAGGTGATGTACTTTCCCCACTTCTCTTTTCTTTCTTTCTACATGACCTATCATCTTCATATGACATTAATTTTGTCAAATATGCTGATGACCTAACTGTATCTTTGCCTGTCAAATGTCAAAGTGACTGCTCCAAACTAAACGGCTTTTTATCAGAAGATTTGATAGTGT